GCCGTTTGCTGCTATTAAATGATAAGATGTCCAAACAAACATTTGTATTTATGTCAATACCATAATGTATGTTGCAAAGGTGGAACCGCACAACCACCTATTCTGTCATCTGCAAGTCTTAACTTGAAACTGAAACATACGCAGCGAATAGAATGTACTATAACGATTTGACAATATAAGAGCGATTTCTTCACAGGTGAAGATATAATAGTTCGTATATCTTCTCAGCGTTGAAGATGTGTTTTTTTCAAATTTAGAATTCACTATATTTCACTTGTTAAGTGTAATATGAATCAGAACAAAATGTGTTTCTCTTTCTAAATATAAACCAAGACGGAGGGAGATTGGGGTGTCCGTATGCGCGTTATTTTTCATCTTTTGCGGAGTTAAAAAACAAAAGAGCTTCAAAAACACTAAATAACTAAAAAAGAAACCAACACAATTGAAATTCCAGTAATTAATCTATTTTAAAAAAGTGATATTTTTGTATTTTATGAAGTGCATGAAAAACACATTTTCAGAATGGCTGCCGAGTTAGTTGTTATTTGAAAAATCCTGTAAAACAAGTTCTGCAAATAAAAAACAACTATTTTTATTTCATATTTTTCAGATGTATATTTGCTTTTAAAATAGATCATAATTTGTTAAAGTTCAAAAACACGTTGCAAGGGATCTAAACGGGAGCTGAACGTGATTTAAACCTCAGAAGACGACAAAATATCGTATTTGCTGTACGCTGTACTATACTTATAAAGGAGTTTGAAAAAAAGTTTTAAGTCTGCATATGAAATTGTGTACAACCCTATTTTGATCCAACAGCAGTGCTATGAATGAAGTAATTAAGGACGATTTTGTTGCACTGTTATTCAATTACCATGGAAACAATGTAATTGCTAGCCGAATATTATAAAATACTTTGTGAAGTCTGAAATCCCATATTAATCAGTTACATCGATTGCACATGGTTCAACACTTGCTAACGAGTAAGAGTATTGTCATAAAAGTTTTTATTTACAAAGCTTTGGAACAAGTTGAAAACATCTTTGAGGACAACTCATGGGGTATTAAGCCTTCAAGTACGATAGGGAGCTTTTACCCTTACACTTCACTAAAGGTGTCCATATTAAACTGAGCAACGACTTGCCCTGTATCAAAATTATTCTTACCTGTGTCAGTGCATTTTATCAATCAACCTTGGTGAAAGTGTCTTCGGGGACAAAACTTGATCAAAACATTAACGAAAGAAATATCATAGAAACCATCGAAAATGTGCAAAAATAACAAGACCTGGTGTCCTGTTATATCGTTAACACCATCAACGAAACCCGCCATTGGTCACATGTGGGTTATGACATCAAAACGGCATCCAAATTGTAAAGGGACGCCATTAGCCAATGGAGACAAGACCACCAGTCGTGTCTTCACTCAATGTCTTCATGGTTTATATATATAGTTGAAACAAGGTTTTGCGGACATGTGCAAGTCTAAATTAATAAATATGTGATCACATCATTGAGTTTTTCAAAAACGATGCAACAATTTGGCAAAAGATTTTGACAGAAACGAAACCAACAGAAAACTTCATTGATTTTGTCAAATTGTAAACTTATCGATGCATTGGCATGTTTTATGAAAACACAAGTCATTCAATAACATTGCAAACAGATTGCTGCTATAAATCGACAAGTTTGAAAACCACTAATATCAGACCATATGACAAATACACTACTATTCAAGTTTTGGAGTTCCCATCAAATCCCTCCATTCCCAAAAATAAAATAGATAAATACATTAATAAATCAATCAATACAAATATAAAGAAAATACGCGTATTATAATAATATTTGACAAAATTGCATTTGGCATCCAAATTGTTTAAATTCTGATATGTACATTCACAAAGTAATTATATAATTGATCAGACTACGGAGAGCTGAATGAAGTAATCAGAAACGATTTGGTTTCACTGCCTTAGGTTGTTTTTCTGTTACCGTGGAAACAATGTTACATAAGCACCTGATAGTCGAATCGACGTTAATTTGATGACAGATTTTACCTCTATATGAACTTCACCAACTTTACGTGTGCTAGGTAACTTCATATAAACAAAATAATTAGCTAATAGGTCAACGCAGCGCAATTGCATAATGTGCGTAATGATAGTTATTTACCGTTTATGAAATCATACCAAATTGTGACTGTTTGTATGTGGTTAAAGATCCTGATTTTGCCATATTATCAGTCATTTTCTGAAGTCTCCATGCTAGTTGCCGACGGTCTCTAGAGACAGTTTTAGTAGAATCATATTGTAATGTTTTTGATTTTGTTTGGTATAATTGGGTTGAACGTCTTTTTAGCAGCATAAGTCAAGAAGCAAATACAGTGTGGTTCAAACATGGATGACACCCAACATTTCCGACGTAACAATGTTTTCGGTTGAAATGCTGTAACGTCGATTTCGATGACTACGTTGTCGTCTCTTTTGAGAAATGATCAAAGACATAACATTGGTATGACTGCACCGTAAAATTGGCAAACGTTCCACAGAATTCACATGATCATTACATTTCTATAGCGCAGCAGTGCCAAAGAGTCTTACGGAATGTTCCTTTCCTTGTCTACGGTAGGGTGCACGTGATGTAGGGTTATTTTTACGCGGCAGATTTTCGCGAAATTACGGATCACAGACATTGACATATGTATAAACAAAGGGTTTTTCCATGTTTCACTGTCAAACGAAGACCATTCTTTTTTTGTTGTTATTATCCTCCTGATTCAATAACATATTACAAACCACAGACACCACACTCAATACTATAGACAACGTTGGGGATTTTGCAATTCAGGGGTTCAAAGTGTTTGTAGAATACCGTACTTTCGGATGTGATCGTTTCTCCTAAATTTTGCGTTTTTGCAAAAATATTTGAATAAAACAATGTTGTTTTCACAACAATAACTTTCAGAAAAGATTCAATCTTATAAACAAATAAATCTTTCCCTTTTTCTTTTTATAAAACACACGATTCAAAGCAGTTTTCTGATCGTTTGCAAAACTGACTGAATCGGACATTGATAGGCCTATCGGCAGAGTGTGTACGCTTTGTTACAGGCAGTCACTCAAACAGGTCCGACGAGGACCGCCAACAGCCAAATTCACGAGACATGAAAAACGAAAAATGTTATTTCAGCGATTCTTCTTTGAAAAGAAAAAATCGGAATGTATTAGGCTGTTTTGAGCCTGTTAATATTTATTTTTCAAACTCCTTACTTTTATTATCATCGCTTCAATTCGCATGTATGTGACATTGTGGAGTTCCTGTCGGTAAACAGTATCACGCGATCTTGACTCTTTGCAATATACAAGTTTGCAATTGTCGCCACTTTCCCCATGTCGTTTTGACACATTCCTACTGTCCATATTAAATAGTTCAACATTATTTTACCCAAGAACGGCAGTCTTCCTCCAGAGTGTTTATAACGATGCAATTCTTCGTTATGTTTCCCCATACATGGTATCGTACCTCAAAATTGGGCCTACTTTAAACGAGTTTATTTAATCCGATTCTACCGTATAATATGGCTTAAACTTGCATTTTTTCTTAATTGTTAAATAGACAATACAATCAGGAGTTATTCAACGAAATTTAACAGTTTATTGCTGCGACCATATTTTAAAGCATTTCCTAAAATCCCCGAATAATTCACGATAAATCAAATGGTCGCGACCAAGGACTGGTTTTGAATTGTTCTGGAGTATCCGCGCACCTCTTTATTGACGCTTTAATTTTTCCTTTAAAAAGTGCACACTATTGGCGAATATTTACGGTGGTCGATGGTTAGACATAAAATATATAAATTAATCACCAGCAATCCATAATTAAACAGTCTATCCCTTCGGGAACCTCTAAGGTGCCTGATTCATACTAGGAACATCTTTAGGTAATAGGTAATTCTTTTTTTTTGAAAGGTTTTTACATGTGGTTGACGCCTGTGGCCTTGAAAGTAGGTCAATGTAACTTATTTGAGGAAACTTTATAGCACTTCGTGTATGGTACCTACTGGCCAAGTATTATAACCCTGGACATCCAGGTTATTCAAAAAAAGATCGAAGGCTTTTACATACTTATATTTGACCATGAAAATAGGTCAAGGCTAGTTATTTGAGGAAAGTTTATACTGTAGCACTCTGTACAAGGTACCTTCTTGCCAAACATCCAATTCTTAAGAAGTCGTTCAAATAAAATGTTGATGGACGACGAACAACACATCATAACATTAGCTCAACTGAAATTTTGCTAGGTGAGCTTACAACACAAGCATAATAACTGTGACTGCAACGTTACATAGGGGAAAAGAGGGGGAAATGCACATTACCGCAGAAAAGGGCGTATACGATGCCGACTGTATTCCTCGAACACCCGCTTGGTATATAATTAAAATCTCGTATTTAGTTCAAAAAAAGATTTAAAGAAGGACAGAAGTGCAAACATATGAAATTTATGAACATTATAAACTCGTCTTTAGTATTTTGTTACATTATTTTTACACCATTTTACTTTGCATGGCTAAACAAAGAAATGCAATATACGTCAACTCAAAGATGCATTTAATAACCATTAGTATGTATATAACTGTTTCAAATGTTAACGTTTTCAAACGCATATAAACTATTTTATATACTTAGGGAACTACCTATAAATACCAATTAACTATTGCTTGTGAAATAGCCGAGCGAATACTCTCGAATTAATGTTAATTCACTTTCAACGTCATTATGCTGACAGCATGTGTATTGCATTTAAAGCGACGTCAAAACGTAATGTCTATTACATTCAAAGTGACATCAAAACGTAATGTGTATGTCCTTAAATCTGGCGTCAGAGGTGCTATTCTGCGAGTTCAAATATAAAAAGGATATGTTCATATATATGAAATTAAACGATAGTCATGTTAAAAATGAGTTAACAAATCCCAAAACGAGAAAGTGTGTGATAACTTACCTTGTCATGGTATATGTTCTTCCTGATGAAGTTAAAGGCCACAGCAAGGACAACAAAGAACACACCGAAAAACACAAGGAGAGCAAAGGACTCTAGCTTCCCGATATCCTTCGACAATCCTTGAAGAGTAGACGTTGTATTTAGGTTGATGGCTCCTAAACAATGGGAGACATTCTTTACAAGACCAACCGTAGTAGACATGCTCGTCTGAAAAAGTAAAAAAAGTTCTGTATCATCAGCACAATGTCACGAAACCATCGTATGTAAAATATATTGTCACCGCAGAGATGATAAGGTAACAGGCTTAGTGTATTTCAGGTCGATTATTGAACTCACTATTAACCCTTACGTTTAAAAAGCTGGAACTGTAAAATCCAATCGACCTTTTCCGCTCAGTGGCATTAGATGCCAAGTATGTATATTAATAATGTATCTGTGTGTATAAACTTTCTAGAGATTGCACGTCATCGATAACATCACTCGAAATTAAACTTAACACATTCCTGTATTAAAATTAAAATTGTTTACTCGAAATGTTTGAAACCATCGGTATCATTAATAAAGGTTCTCGACTTATTTTTGCAAATTGATATCGAGGGCATGTGATGTGACTAACACCGGTTATGTAATATTAATGCAGTGCAATTTATTACCGATATTAACCTTAAGGTTATACTCCAAATGATTGGATTAGCTCAACTGCAGAATAATAATCTGGCTCAAATGCTTACTGACCTGTACATTGTGTAAAATCATAGTGTCATATGATTTCTATATTTCGACCTTGTAGAAACACTTTTTTATCCTCTTCAAAGAAACAGATTTTAAGAAAATGACATATCCCTGCTAGAAAGTGTCCTGATACTCTTGACAGGAGACAATAAATCAATGAAAATGTACGAATATAGGCACAACGCAGACACACAAGGAATTTCCATACTTGGGCTATCAAAAGAAAAACTGGATTATGTAGTATTGCAGTGAATGCTTTGTTTGTTTGTTGTCTAACGTCCTTGCAACAGCTAGGGTCATACACATGATGACGCGTTTCTAGGAAGACCTCATCTGAAACAGAAAGTTGGTAAAAAAAAAACACCCGGGGAAAAATAGGAAACGTAAAAGATACCACAGGGGGCAGCAGATTAATTTTAGACTGTTCCATGTCCCATTCGTAGAAGACAAGAAAGGATACCCCTCCCCCCCCCGATTCTGCAGAAGGGTTGGGCATACTAGTCGCCTATTATGAAAATCAAAAAGTGGGAAACAGACTTGTCTCCATGAAACACTGTCTGAAACAAGAGATTCCCAATATAAGAAGGGGAATGGGAAGTCTTTGAGATTATTCCAATATAACTTCCGCTGTTCACATTAAGTGTAAAGGGAACAGGTCAATTTGCGGAGGAATAACTGTTTCGGGAATCAGTCTTCCCCTTCCTTATAATAGCTCGTATTCCCCATGCTAGTACTGACATGTAGTTTGCTGTCAACAAGTTCCAATCTACGTGTACGTGTTGAAAATGCCCGAAAATGATGACGTGATAAACTCGTTTTAAGGTAAAATTGCCTAACCTCTATAATCTATGCAATAAAACTCGGTATTGGGCAGGTAATCCTGACATAATCATTTGAGGTAAGCAAAACTGAGAATGTTCTTACTTTTTTTTTATTTACCTTCGATACTGGTTTTAATGGATCGCTACCGTAGAGAAGGGATTTCAGACTAACATTCAAATATACATTTTGTGTACTTTACTCAAGCATTGCCTCGTCCCAACTCTGGTCTATGTGCTCAAAAACTAATTTGGATGTAGCTGGAAATGCCTTTGTTTAGTATTGCGTTTAGGGACAACGTCCATTATAACGAAAGTTCACCCTCTTATTAAAATGTGTGTCTTTGATGATTTAGTACATTCAACCCATGACGGCAAAGGGAAAGCCTGTATTCAGCTTCTCCCTTTAACTAATTGTGAGTCTAAAGTACGTAGGCCAAAAGTAAGAGTCGGGACAGCCCTCTCAGAATGAGAACACGATGTCAAGTTGACTGTATATAAGAATCTTGTATACCGTCTCCACCTTCTTGTGGAGAATATCATCAATCTCGGGGCTTTTTCTTAGTATGTCTATAGAAAGATTTTTCTGAATGTTCTATATGAGTTGTTAATATACCGATGGCCTAAGAAATATGCTGTTCATCGCAGGAGATTCGAGACAAAGTGCTGATTAGCATAACTTTGGTAGCGCATGTTGTGTCTAACAATAGAAACGCTAAATCGATTTGACGTTCAAACTAAAGCTATTGATACATTAGTAGCAATTCACAGGTTGATAATTGTTAAACAAAGAAATATAACTAACAGACTTAAAACGCGAACGTAGAGCTACGCATTGCTTATATATCCAAACGTGAAATATGTTTGTTTTTTAATGGTTTTAAATGAGAAAAGAGAAATGACATAAACATAAATGTGTGAAAAAATAACAATGCTGACTCGGGTTTGAAACCCTTTACAATGTATAAACAAGAATGAAAACCCCTAGTTTTCATACATATGTTTCATGTAGTACATGCGTTTATTTGGTAACTTATTAATTATTGCGCTTGCCTATTATTCGATTCTTTTTTAATTACCAACGTAATTAACTACCAAACTAGTTGGAAATGAAATCTGTTTTAATATAGGGCTCGCCCAATATTGCATAAGTATCCAATTTCGTTTTGTATGCAGAGATAATTGAACTTCATTTAATATTAATCACATATCCATACTAAGTTGTCTTGTTGTGGTCAATGTTATATGATATGAATAATTACATCATGGTACATTTTGATATTTACATATTACAGAAACAGATTACAGAATTAAATTTCCTTCTCATTTCTATTCTCTAATAACACGCAGATTTTCATTTCCCTTTGGATTACATTTCACTCTTGTTATTGAATATAATTGAGATGTCATCACATTTAAAGCTTTGATGTCGGCGTACTGTTTCGCTTGCAATTCCATGGCTCATGGAACAAAGCCGCTGATTACATAAAATCATATTTGTTAGGAGCTAAATGCGATGTATAGATTCATATTGGGTTTTAATTAAGTATAAAGACGAAGTGAATAAATGTAAAGACGACAATATTGAAAACAACTGCACATTGACAAATTATGCAACATATTTGAATGATTAATTTGATGTGGCATGTTTTTAAAGGTAGCCTAGACAAAACATCTACGAGTTCAGCAAGTATAACATATTTACTTGTATACGGGCCTTTCCTAGACTTCAATTTAAACGTCCATACGAGTTAAAAAACACTAAGGGTATAACCTTACTGTATTTTGAAATTTGCCCCCTTTCTAGTTCATATCAACTAACACAACCGAAGGAAACAACGATTTTAGAAATTATTCAGCATATTCTTCAAATTCTGTCTCTTTGCCGTGGATTGGTATCGACAGGAATATTCAAAGTGAGGCGGAATTACATTGACCCTTCGGAGTCACGGTATTGTTCGTGACGTCATTCGCAATCGCCGTCCGTGCTTCATATGTAAATGAGAAATTTGCAAACGGTATATCGTGGTTTTACGGTCACAAATTATTTGGATTGACCAATCAAATGCCGTCTTACATCTCAAATACATTAGAATTCATAACAAACGTTAAATAATGTATTATCATATAACTTGTATTCATATATATTGGATCACGTTTTGACATTATTGCGTCATTGTAACGTTCTTTGTGACGACATCACAATTGAAATATGTACACATCAATCAATAGATTCCGTTTGTTTTGTGTTACATACATTGTATAACATCTCATTTGTGTGATGAAACCTAAAAGATGCTGATCTGTTAGAAATATTTGTAGTGATATTATAAAGACTTTCTGTAATATCTGTTTAGAAAAAAACGTGGTTAGCGCAATATCTGAAGCGATCCTATTATGATTCAGTATGTTTCATCACGATTGGTTTCAATTTCCACCAGAGTTATGCTTCAGCTATGACTAGACCTAAGACTATTGTTATCGGAAAACAGCATGTATTCTAGCCTTCCTGTAAATACATTGACACGATAAGTTTGTAGGACATTCTTTTTATATCTGGCACATTCCATTTTGAGTTGATTTAATAAGTGAAAGTTTCATAGCGTCATGCGTACTTAAACAGTTATCAACATGTACTTTAAGAATAAAGAATCATATATTAATCTGTCAAGCATTTGTTAAAAATCAGCGCATTTAATGATAAAACGGTCGACTGTTAATGGTTGATAACATGTATGCAAATAAATTTGGTCTTCTTTACGTAAAATGTAAATATGTGTGATGTAAGTATGGGCTATGCGCAGTCGCGCAGCAACAACATTCTATCTGTGATCTGCTCTACTTGATACATACATTCACTGGATAGTACGTTCAAGTAAATCGGACAGTCTTTTGTTTATCTGAAACATTCCATTTTCAGTTGATTTCTGAAGTGAAAGTTCATAACGTCATGAATACAAAAATAATAATCATAAAACTTCATATATTTCTTGAATTAAAGAATTGTTGAAAAGTAGCGAGACTTCGCAGTTTGTGCATTTTCCCACATACGTCTAATACTGCATTCACTGCAGACTCCATTTATACTGATCCATTTAAAGGTTTCGACATTTAAAGCAAACGTGACCTATATCGCCATGGAGGGAAGGGCATAATAAATTATATGAACTTATTTATGCAGCATATCCAGTTTAGTTTCCCTTATGTCTTTTTATTAGCAGACACTGACAATTTTATTGTTTTGTATTGTTCAATGGCCTATCGTCGATGCGACCCAAACAACACTGTTAGAATAGATATTCACAAAATGAATACATCAAACTAGAAACAAAAACGTTAAAATGTGTAAAAGATATAAAAATGCATCAAAAGCAAACGACTTCATTCTCAAAAAAAATAATCATGTCTTAGTGTAAAGAATACCTGGTTGAAAAAAAATATTGAAAGGGTGGCCAGGTGGCGCAGTGGAAAGCGCACTTTCCTTTCACCAAAGATACCGGGTTTCGATACCCTGATCGGACGTAAAAAGGTATGGGGTGTCCAGCCCGACCACATGGGTTTTCTACGTGTACTTCGGTTTCCTCCCGCATTAAGACCCCTTGCACGCTAACATCCGAACCAACAAGAGTGATGAACATAGGTTGTAATAAT